TTAGTTACTACCCAACTAATTTCTATTAGTTGGGTAGCACAGACTGTATGCTTTAATAAGGAGGATTACCCCCAAGATTTGTAAGAGTAACCACTCTTCTGCAATGTTGCTCAGAGCAGCCTGTGATGCTTTTAGTCCTGATCACAAGCAGCTGATACCATCAGTTAACTTAAGCTGCATCTGCACTGCTAAAGTGCAGAGCACTGCAGAGGTTACAGACACACACTGTGAGGCCGTATTAGGTGGGATCCATGTGCCAGCACTCCCCTTGCCTGTCAGGGGAGCAAAGCTGGTTATAGCCTATGCCATGGTAACATTCCACATGGCATTTGGGGAGAAATGTACAGATAATGAGGTATTTTGCTCTACACATGTAGATGAGACAGGTGAGGGGAACAATCTGTGGCTGATTATGGCTGGGAAGAAACAATTGGATAAATTCAGCAATGTAAAGAGCAAGGGTAAGCTCCTTTTATTTTCCCAAATTCTTTTGGGTTTTATTTTTAGCAAATTAACAATGATGTGCACATTTTCTCAATTGTTCATCTAAGTAATTGTGTGTATTCCCCATCTTTTAACTTTATCAGATGCTTTCAGCCTCATTAAAAACTGCCCTGCCTATTCAGAACACACTTTTGGGTGGCAGAAGTCTGTGGTATTAAGGCCTTTTTTCTATGCTTTTTTTTTTGCAATTTTCTTAAATTAAAACCAATATTCATTTGTCTCTGGTGCACAGAAGTATGCAAACCAACACTGAAGAAATATTTATGATTTATTTTTCCTTATAGCTATAAGGCTCTATCTGCTACAAGCTGATAACCCTCATAGTGCAACCAGCACTTTTCTTCCAATTCTACTATCTGGGTGTATTACAGGGATGTGTGAAAAATAGTACATGCAGATCAGCTTGGCCCTGCATCAGATGAATATAACATATCACGTGTAACATGTATACAGCATGTATAGGTTTTGTATTCCAAATATATAGAATGTATTTTAGGCATCTTTGCTCAGCAGAAATACAATAATTATTTGATCTGTTCCAGCAATACTATCAAACCAGTCCTTGAGTCTGTTGTATTACAGCGCCAAGAAGTATTTCACATGGGAGCGTTCAGCTGTTCATAGAATGAGGAAAAGAAGTCAGGTTTTATTTTCTATTTGTTTTGTTTTGGTTTTACATGTTGGCTTCTAGCCTGGGCACTGTAGGGAACACAGACATTAACTACTACCACTAAGTATCTGTAACTCCAGTAATCTGTTCACAGAAGGAATTCCAGCAAGTTTCAACTATTATCTGTTCCATAATTTTGATGCTACAACATTAATTTTTTCAATATATCCATGTGCCAATCCAAATCACAAAAAAACCCCAAAAAAAACCCAAAAAAACCCCAAAAAAAAACCAGAAACCAGCCAAACAATGAACGCAGAAACCTAAGAATAGCCTACCAGCAGCTTTACACGTGCAAAGGCACTGGTGGCAAGTCTGTGCAGACATACCAGTGCTGCCTAGTGTGCAGGACATGTGCCCACAATGCGATGGACTCAGTGAGCAAAGGCTGCAAAGCCCACCTAATTAGCTGGGTAAATAATTGAGCATGGACCCATATGCAGTCCCATGCTGCCATGGGTGCACTATGTGCCAGATTCTACTTTGCTTACTTACAGAAGCTAGCCTGCATATGCTGTGAGCTACCCTCTGAGCCTGTTATCTAAGGCTTAATGTTTCTTGATTCATAGGATGTGGAGTGAATATTCATCTGGATAAAATAATTATTTGGTTAAATTATTCCTAAACTCCTTAAATTAGAAGTTCTGCCAAGAATCAACCATCTGAGACTGGAATTATTAATTTTTAATATGACCTACTGGCTAATTTTGGCTGAGGAGCTGTGCATTTGCTCCAGCTACCGTGATGGCCCAATTGTGCAAGACAGCCTACAAGCTGGGAATGGCAGCAATGCAGCTGCTGGTACAGCCAGTGGGAGAAAGAAAATAAATATATTACCTTGCTCTGGAAGAGCATGGCCCTGATAAGCTCTGAGCAGATGTGCTCTGGATCAGGATGCTGTTTGGTGACCCTGTCATGATAAAGGCTTTCAGCACTATTGTCTATTTCTGCACTGGAGACACTGCAGCATTATGCCTTCTAGAAGGAATACTTTGTTTTGTCTGATGAGGATTACAGAGGTGTGCGAGATAAAAAACCTTCCCATTCCTATTTCTTTATTTGGATTTTTTTTCTTTGTAACCAGAGAAACACTTGATAAAATTCTTTTGTTCCAAACTGTATTTCCTTTTAATTACTGGGCACCACTGCTGGTACGTGAGAGACACAGAGTATGGGCTGCATGTCCAGAAGGAAGTCTGCTGTATGTGACTGAGCAGGGGCCACCTGAGGTTTCTGGGGCAGAGCACAGCAAATGCTTCCCTTCCTGCCTCTACTCAGCACTCTACTGTTGTTGCCCCAGGCTAACTGCCCCTTGCAGAACACAGGATCTCAGCAAGTCCTGATGGCCAGTAGCAGCATTACAATAATCTATCCATCCCTTTGAATATTTGTCACATCGGCTGGGCTACAGAAATGCATTTCAGGCACCAAACTACATATCGTGTAAACTGTGTGATACCTGATTTCTTTAGGATAAGGTCTTTTCTACACTGGGACAATGATTCATCTCATGCAAATCAGGCATTTAAAAATTGTCTACAGCTGTACCAGACTGACTTTACAGCTAATGGAGAAAAATAAGAAATACCAAAAGGTGATTCACCTCATCCTAAGATAAGATGTCAAAGATAGGTGAGAAAAATTGCCCTTCAGACATAGTTATTTCTGTACATTAATTATAAATGGAGCCTCAGGAACTCAGGTTAAGTAGGGAAATCAAGTGACTAAAGCTGAGATGATTTCCACAATGTGTGTCCCAGTTTTTTCATCACCTCCAGTTCTATGAGAAACTGTGAGGCTAATTTATGAGCAGCCTTATTCTCCATGGCAAGTGTCCTGGCCTGTGATCCACAGAGCTGCAGTATTTTGCAAAAAATTATGCTTAGAGGTCAGCAACTCCTTTTTATTTGTTTTTACTAATGGGTTTAATGACAAAGGAGCACGGGGAACTGTAAAGAAACTTGGTGGCAAGAAAGTAGACTGAGTTACAAAGTTAGGGAATTGCTGCCCAAAGCTGAACTTTCATAAAGGTCATTTTTGCTGATCTGCTTCTGACAATGTTCAGTGAGGGCAGAGAATGAAGTCTGCAACAGCCAAGTGCTACCTGACTTCTCAGGCTAGGATCTCCATGGAATTGGATTTTGTAAAGGTCTTCTGCTGGCTCCATCAACAGGGCCCATAAAAACACAATGCTACTTCCTACCTACTACAGGTTTTCAAATGATCTCCACAAACTATAAGTCAGTGTACAGTCATACTGGAACGTGATGTGGCAATTAAACCTGAAGAGAAGCTAAGAAAATCCAGTAGTGGTTAAAATCGTTATGTATTCAGAAAGCATGAGTCAGAACGATTTGATCTCAGCTATTATACTGCTGCCACAGCCACATAACTCTCATCAGTATGAATAGAAGTCAGGCACCTTAAGGAGAGACAATACTCCACAGAGAAATAGAACAACAGAGATTTTAAAAGTGAAAATAATTTCCCATAGCTGTATCAATTGTCTAACTTTAGTATCATCTTGAATTACATAGCATTTAAAGTAGCATGAAACAGCAAGAATATTAATTCCTGATGTCAGAGAGAAGAGTTATTTCTGGCAGGTTTTAATGGATCTACTGTATCCCATGGAAATTTCTTCCAGCTAACCAAGAATAAAACAATGTACACAACTTACATTCTAATCTTGTAATGGAACCAAATCAGGGGACAGTGACAAATTTACAGTTATACTAAAGCCGCATGTTGTGGTTTCTGTCTCTTCTAAAACCCCGGTGACACTTTATGATTGTTGCTTATCTATTTTATAGCTCCCAGAAGAGCGCTGCCTCTCTCAGTCGAGATGAGATGTGACCTCTGCTTAAACACCAGCCTGCTGGTTAAGAGCTGCTCCAAGTCAGGCACAACGTGGCTGGAGCCAAGGGTTTCAAGTGGTTACAGTTATCCAGCACTGCATGCAAGTACTTTAGTTTATTAAGTGCTAAGTCAACACGTGAGAGTTTTTAGCACAACTGATGTCAAAAAGTAGAAGCTATGGGACAAAATGAAGGAGAAGACACCCAACCACACTTAGCCATCACAACCATGATGCTTAGAACATACAGCTGCAATGGCCACACTGCCAGCATAGAAGCGATTAATTGTCAGGTTAATTTGAGACAGGAGATGGTAGCAGCTTTTCAAGTCTGCTCAGGAGTGTCTCCCAAGGCCAGGAGCCACTTACTGGGCACTGCAGGGGAACCAGTCTGACAGGTCCCTGGAGAGGGAAAAAGAGAAAAACTGCAGATGAATAGTGTTTTGAGGCAGCAGCATCATAGGAAAACTATATGCTACAGAGACAATACGGTATATCCCAGCACCAGAAATGGGTCAGGGATTAGGGCACCATGTCTGCTGTCTTGGCAGAAATCAAACTGCAGCCTGCAATGGGACTTGAATTAGGTTAGGTACCACTGCCTGTGTCGGGAGCAGACCCAGAGTCCAAATAACATAACGTGAATTGTTTTATAAGAAACTGAAAAGCGGGTTAAATTCAGGGAATCCTGACAAGAGTCTCAGCTTTGAAGCGCAGGAGAAAATGGGACCTTGGTGCCGGTTGCACCTGGCCGCCACGGCGTTGTTCCTGCCCGGCAGGCGCAGAGCAGCCCACCGGCTCGCTCCGGGCGGCTCCCGCGGCGCTCGGGGCTCCGGCCGGGGCGCTGCGCTGCGGCCCCTGCGGCAAAGCCCCCGGCCCTGCCTCACGCACGGAGCGGCGCCGCCACCCCGCGCACCCCCGGCACGGCTCCCCGGCCCCGCCCGGAGCTGAGGGAGGACCCGGCGCTCCCCGCCCGGCGCCACACGGGGGGAGCTTCTCCTCAGCGCGGGCAGGTGGGGCCGCCCCGCCGCCCGCCCGCCTCAGCGCCGCGGGGCCGCGCCTGCCTCAGCCCGCGGCGCTCCCGGCTCGGCCGCTGCCCCTCGCCGGCAGCCGCCAGCAGCAGCAACAGGTCCGTGCCCGCTCCTCCCTCCGCCTGCCGGGCGAACAAAGGGGCTGAGCGCGGCCCCGCGCCCGCCCGGCCCCTCCGCCAGCCCGGCCCTGCGCTTCAGCCATTTGCCTCGCCTGGCACGGCCGCGCCGCTCGCAGCCGCTCCCCGCTGCCGCTGCCGGGCGAGGCGCGGGGCCGCTGCCCGCGGGAGCTGCCCCGGGCGGCGCGGGGCTCCCGGCCGAGAGCTGAGCGGGGGGACAGCGGGACGGAGCGGGCCGGGGTCGCGGAGCCTCGGGGGAGGGCTGGTGCCCGCATCTGCCGATATTGCCGGTAAGGACCGCGACGTGGAGCCGCGGGAGCCGCGCGTGTGTGAGAGGGGCTGCTGGAGCACTGTCAGGTTTAATCGTGTTTCTTTTCTCTTCCCTCTGGCCCCCTTAATCCACCTTCTCTGGGCAGCGGGGAGGCTGGGCATATCTCCATATGCCTTCTCCTTATGTCGCAGGGGAGCCAACCCTGATGCCTACGTATTTTATTATTATTTTTTTTATCCTGCTGACCTGTTAAATATCTTAATGACTCTGTAACGTTTAGGGATGTGTAACAGCAGGAGATTGCTTTCCGCTATAAATTCTTCATGGCGTGCTACCCCATCCTACCAGAAGCACACGCAAGCCCTGGGTGAGCATATGCGTGCAGGATTTGGCAGGGTGGAAGATGCTTCAAAAAAAAACTTAAACTGAATTTCAGTAGGTAGATTTTTATGTCTGGTGATTTAAACCAACAAAAAGCAGACTTCTGAACCCAAACTTACACGTAGCACAGAAAATGATAGTATTAAATCCTATAGCCAACTTTTTTCACCCATCAGGAAAAAATAAAACACTCTAGAAATAATAATATTTTGTAAAGCTTGTCCACAGCAATTAAACCAAATAATAGAAAACTGGAGCAAAAAGCTAGGGAAAAAAGTAGGGCAATAAAAAATAGAATAGCAATAAAATAGAACAATCTTTCTGTATGATCTGAGAAGCAAAAAGGCTTCTCTGTTTTCCAGGGAGTTAACCATCTGTCTCCCAAAAAGGAATTAAGTGAAATATTCATGGAAAATAAAAATTAAATTGTCAGTAGTATTGACAAAGCAATATTTCCTCCCTCGTTTAACTGTTTGGCCCATTCTACTTGTTCTGGGGTCTCTTCCCAGGGCCCATCACACTGCATTTATTCACTCTTTAATTAGGACATCCAGTGCATGCCAGTGGGATGCTCTGGTCATCCACTGCTAATGGCACTGTCTGATGAGAACCTGCCAAGAGCCAATGACTGGTCCCATGCCTGCCCCAGCTCCTCTGTGCTCTGCAGGACTCGCTCCTGGCAGTGGAAGTCAGTGGTGCAACTTAGAAGCTGGAGTTTGCAGGACTGCACCTTGATAATGTCAAAAGGCTGAAATCTGTAGTAGCTTCCTTTCTTTTACAAATGCTGTGTTTGCATCGCTTTTCAATATAACAAATAGTCCAAAGAGATGCACAGACTTGAAATGTCAATAAATATCAGAGCACCATTATTTGGCAGGAACATTTAATTAAAGTCATTAACTGGCTTTACTATAGTAAAGCAGGATTATAGTATTTAGGGCTGGCCTAGGTTACCATAGAGATGACAATGTGGTGAGATGACTGCATCCAGATCCTACTTACCAGGGGTTTCAGCATCCTGTAGTATCCTGTTGCAAGAGGATATTAGGGGCAGCTGACTGCTAAAGAAGGGTGTAATAAAACATGAAAGGAAATCCTGCAATTTCTTTCAAGGTAGAATTAAACTTTTTTTTTTTTAATACTATTTTTCCTTGGTGGGATCCTTTGTGGATTCTGCAGGGATTTTTCTGTTTATCCCTACTGACACTGTACAGCATTGCAGTTGGGAGTCTATTTCTTGCCTCTGAACAGAAGCAGAGAAGTCATTTTATGCCACTTCACATCCTTGAAAATACCCATTTAAAAAAATGAGCCCATTTTCATTGTATTAAATCTCATTAGCCTTCTCAGGACATGACATTTTTACTCTTGGTGTTTTATTTTTCAGTGAAATTGTCATCATCTATTGTTTCAGCTTCATGTTTGGTTTCAGTGTTGTTTTGTCAGTGAGCAGGCATGATTAGTTCCTTTCATTGAAGAAGAATTACCTTATAGCAGTTCAGGATTTGACAGCCAGTTTAACCTCATGTGTGACTGAGCTCTTATTGAGCAGGAAGGGACCCTGCTCTTTCCCTAGCCTGGGCTGTACATTCCTGCCCAATTCCCTGGGCCAGAACTCCTCACCATGTGGCAACACAGTAAATGCACAGAGATTTTTCCTTCCTCCTGCACTTAATTAAGCAAGCACTCAGTTGACACTGCAGATGTTGGCATTACAAGTGGGGCTAGTCCTGTGAACAGTGTTTAAATCTGTCTGTAACTCTCTGCAGGATCAGGACCAATTGATTGGCAATGCTGCACCCTTTCCTTCATCCTAAAATGCTCCTTGGATGCTAACTGGCAGTTTTGGCTTCGGAAGCATTACAAGACTGGGTCAGTATTGTATATGTTTGATTGAGTGTTAATGCAAAAAAGAGCTGGTTGGGTATTTTTTTTTCTGCACTATACATTTGGTATTTCCCAGTTTATCTCATCAGCGAGGATAGCAGGATTCATGATTGGTTAAGTCAGTTTGTTTAATGCAAAACAAGCACGAGAAAAAATCCAGTGGTTCTACAGATTTTGTACCGTGTGTCAGGGAGAGAAGAAAGATGTGTCACATAAATGCTTTTCAGGTGTGATTTTCACAAGCTGCCATTGCTGTGCCTCTGGCTGAAACTGGTTGACAGCCTTTTTTAACTCACTTGGAAACATGCCAGAAACCACAATCTTTCTATACAAATCAGCACATGTTGGTCAAGCAGCTTCCATGCTGTTACGTTGTCTGTCACAACATGATTTGCATTAATTGAAGTTATTTTACATTTATGCATTCATAGATTAGCACAAGCTCTTAGTTGTTTTTCTGGACACTTACTCCTCCAGGAATACTTAAGGAGCTAGGTAAGTTTTGTATCTCAGCTTTGGATCTCTAACTGCTGGCAGGGTCCTGGACTTGTGAATAATTTCAAACTATCAACCTGTCAGAGTTTCACAATAGTTCTGTCTTTTTCTTCTTGAAAGCAGTTCTGTTTTTTTCTCTTTCCCCCTTTCTTGTAAGTAGATTGAAAAAACAGGCCCTTAGCTCTGGAAATGACCTATTATTTCTGCAACCCATATTTTAGGTGTTAGACAGTAAGAACTAAAAGCCAACCCTTTGCTGTGGGAGTGGCATGTGAAACTAATGTTCTGATTCTGTCAAAGACAAATCCGTTCTTGGGAGAGTTTTTCTCTTATCCTGTAGCTTTCTTTCATCTTTCCTTTTACTGCAACTCACTGCATTGCATTAGTTAAAAAAAAAAAAGCTACCGTTTGTATTTGTCTTTACAGTTGTGGTGGATTAACCCTGGCTGGATGCCACATGCCTCCTAAAGCTGCTCTATTACTCCTCAGCTGGACAGGAGAGAGAAAATTTAGGTGTAAGTCTCGTGGGTCAAGATAAGCACAGTGAGCTATCACTCACCAGCTACTGTTACAAGCAAAACTGAGTTGACTTAGGGAAATCAGAGTAGGATAATGAGAAATAAATCCAGATCTTAAAAACATCTTCCCACCATACTTCTATTTTTCCGAGGCTTAACTATACACTTGAATTCTTAACCTTTTCCCCACCCCTTGTGGTACAGGAAGAGAGAGACTGGGCATTGTGGGGGTTCATCATATTGTCTCTGCTGCTTCTTCTTCCTCACAGTCTTCTCCTGCTCCTGGAAGGGGTCTCTCCCACAGGAGAAGGTTCTCCATAAAATTCTCCAGCATAAGTCCTTCCCATGGGCTGCTGTTCTTCACAAACTGCTTCAGCATGAGTCCCTGCCATTTGGTACAGTCCTTCAGGAACAGACTGCTCCAGCATGGGCCCTCCGTGGGGTCAAAAGTTCTGCCAGCAAATCTGCTCCAGTGTGAGCTTCCCACAGGGTCATGGCATCCACAGCATCCACCTGTTCCCATGTGGGATCCTCCACCAGCTGCAGGTGGATCTCTTCCTGGATCTTATTAACCTCCGTGGGCTGTAGGGGCAGAGCTGCCTCACCATGGGCTGCAGGGGAATCTCAGCTCCAGTGCATGGTGCACCTCCTCCCTCTCCTTCTGCACTGACCTTGGAGCCTGCAGATCTGTTTCTTTCACATATTTTCAGTCCTGTCTTCTCTGGCTGCAGTCTGCTCCTGCACAGTAACTTTTTCCTCTTCTTAACTCTATCATCCCAGAGGTGCTGCCACCATCACTGATGGGCTCTGCCTTGGCCAGTGGAGGGTCTGTCCTAGAGCTGGCTAGCACTGGCTCTGTCAGACATGGGGGAGCTTTTGGCACCTTCTCACAGAAGCCACCTCTGCAGCCCTCCCATTGCCAAAACCTTGCCATGTAAACCCAGTACAGCAGTGTAAGAAATCCAGATGCTCATGAAGTTAATGGGAATTTTCCTTGACTGGAGTGGGGTTGGGATTTAAGGTGATGGCAGACTCTGGCTTTATCAGAATTGTCTGTGAAACTTAAGTGGCAGTTTCTTGTTTCAGGCTACTATCACAAGCCTAATTCTCTTCAAAGCCATGGAAGTGAACAGTACACAAACATACTTCTTTGACAGCAATTGATAATTGAGTTTTGAAGTTTGGTTTCCACAATAGATGCACAAACAGCAAACGTAAATGTTATTTGAGTGTACTGTAGTGAGAGCTTTGGAGTTTGTCAGTGCCATGTGCCCCAAGAAGTTTTAAATTTTGATCTTAGGAAAACAAGGGTAAAGACTGTTCATGTGCATTCATGTGATAAAACTCACTGATGCTGCTTCTTGTTCAGAATAAGGTCTATACCACTCATTCTCTGTGAATGACCTTTGAGACAGGCAAGAGAGTTGGAAGAATCTTTTAGTCCAATATCTGGACAGTATTTCTGCCAAGACATTTTGCAGCCTTACGGGAAATAAATACTTGGATTTTACCCCCAAAATCAGGCAGCTTTTCACATGACAGTGGCTGAAAAGCCTCAGTATCTGCTTTGAGATGTTGCTGATGTGTATCTAAAATCTTTCTAGTCAGAAGCAACCAAAGTTTAGACTTCTAGCTGAAAACATCAAAATCTCTGAATGGTCAGAACCACAAACTAGGATCCCTGAATCTAAGCTTTTTCTCACAGCTCCCAAATCATAACCATAAAACCAAACATCTCTCTATGTTCAGCATTCTGATGTAAAAGTCTTACTTCTTATTCTGGCTCCTGGCTGTACACCTCTGTCCAAATGGCAAACTAATAAATGCAAGGATAGCACTGTGACTGTTGAACATGCTGTATATTTAACTGCATGCATTAGCAACCCTTTATTCTGTAGCACTTGAAAATTATAAGTTTGAGTCATGGATTAGTCAGACATACTACAGTCTTCTACTCTTGTGTCAAAAAGTCCAAAAGCAGATGGGACAGTCCTGTGTTCATAATCACCCTGCGTGGTTGTATTGCCACTCTGTATGTCTCTTCAGAAGGAGCAAGGATCATTTTGGGGAAGGAGAATTCCAAAGTGAAAAGCAGTACGTACATTTCTTCAAGGTATTCAGAATGATCTATTTGACAGCTGCTTTTCCATCAAGGCCATCGGCCAAAACAGAGAAACTGAATAGATGTGAGGTGAACGATCTGAGCAGAACAACGTTTTGACCTAATTCATCCAGAAGTTACTGGCTTGATACAAGAATAAAATTCTTTGGCCTGTTCTTGCAGAAATTAGATTAGATAACCAGGCAATCTTTACTGTCCCTTTAATTTAAATACCTGTTTTCCTTGTTCAATGGAAAAAACATTATAGTGGGAGATACTGAATTACCTGCTCTAAATTCTTGTTGCAGAAGTAGAGCTTAGTCAGAGAAATTAGTGCCAGAAAGCGTTTGCCTGAAAACTCAGGCTCAGCATATGAAGTTCACATTATAGTAAAAATGCTATGCATCCCAGGCAGAAAGTGTCAGCCCATGAAAATAAGAGTATTTTAATAGAAACCTGTTTTATTTCTGTCTCAGAATGGTCAGCAAGTGTTAGCTTCTACTAATTTAAACAGCATGCATTACATTCAACTTTCTCTTCTTTCCCTGTTTAGTTCAAATGATTACATAAAGTCATTTCATACTTTGTTAAGCCCTCAGTTGCATCATTGCTGCTAAAAGCATTCCCATTGTTTGGTGAAATCTGGGCTGACAGCCTACAGGTACTCTTGATAGTAAAGGCTTGCTGAAAAAGTACCTATGACTGCAGCATGTGTTTCTGCTTTGAGATCAGCACAAGTGGTTTCCAATCCTAGCACAAGTCAGAATGGCTTAGATCTCTGAGCAATATAGCTGAGCCCTGACCCACTAAAGGCTATGGGAAGAAATACAGAAACTTCCTTTTTGGCAGGGAGCAGAAATCAGGATTCTTCTTCTTCCTCACTCTCAAAAACATTTTTTATTGTTTCTCTGAAAAGTAATAACGGCTTTAGTCTGAAGGAGAGTAAGCCTTCTTTCATAAACTTGATGGTTTGGGCACTTGGTTGATATTTGGGGATTTCAGTCTTGTCAGGCAAAGGAAGGGATAGTGACAAGTTTCCCGTGGGGCTTGGTCAGAGCTCTAATTATTGTACAGAAAGTAGCACAAAAAGTCAGTACTGCTATCTTTTAAAGTAATTTAGGTATATTTTGTAGAGTATTCTGGGCTGAGGCACCCAAAGCAAGAAATAAAGTCCCCTGATTCTTAGCACATGCTAAGCACTTCATCACCATGGTCTTTGGTATTTTTCTACTGACTAGCCCTTGATAGCTCTCATGAGCTGATCTTTGAGGATCCAAATCAGTTGGCATCTAATTGTACCCACCCATGCATAAGTGTGCAGAACCTGTGTGTATGTTCCAGATTCCATTCCAGGAGCTGGTTACAGGTAGATCAGCAATGCTGTGCAGCTCAGACACACTGCATCGGTCTCTCTTGCAAGAGAACTGGGAGGTGCATCCCACCCACAGATTAATTCTGTGTGGGAATTTGGCCCTATGTCTCTCCACCTTGGCCTGATTTTAATGAAATAAAATAAAAGAAGTAAAACTCCTGTGAGTAATCTAGTAGGTCACAGTTATAGGACCAACAGCAAAGTGTACCAGCAGCATTTCTGCCATGGCAAGCTGATTCCTTTCCTTCTTTCAGATTAAGGTTGTCATGCTGGAGGCTTTGCTCTGTTATCTGATCTGGCTGTTTTAGCTCTTACATCTTTGCTACATTGCCAGCTGCCAGATAAACCTGCCCTCAAAGTCAGCCTTTGTCATGTTTAGCACTGTGGCGGGTCTCTCTGTATTTGAATCCAGTCCAAAGTCTGTGTAGAGACAATGTCTGCAGGAACCTGGAATTTTCTTGAAATCAAACTGCCTGTAATATAATTTTTAGTTGCAGCT